TGCCATAAATGCCTTTTGAATGGAAAAACGAGAAAAATGGGATGTAAAACGAATTTACAGCAACTTCTAAATCGAATTACTGATATGAAGTTATAGATAAAAATCCCATTCTACAAAAATGCACCAAATGAAGAAAGAGTTTGCATTAACTATAATTTTAATTTTATATGATTTCTATTTAATGGGTTGTATTGTGTTTTCTATGATACTGCCACTATAAAAATACTTGGATACAGTGACGACAGGGCTAATGGATGATAATGATTCTTTGAATTTGAAATGTTTGAGTTTCTCAACAGTTTCAATTGTTTAATTAAAATGCGGAAAAAAACTTCGTATTTTAGTTGCATAACTTCTGCATTTTATTTGAATATGAGAAAGTTTAACGTAATAACTCATTTCTAGTGCACTGTCTTTAATATTTCTGTATTTTTCGAAAAAAAATGAATTCAATACATAGCGTAATTTTAGCATCAATAAGGTACACTAAAACATAAAGAAAATTTTAATAAATGAACTAGCTATACAATTTGGTATTTATTGACTAAAGACATATAAACAATATTCTATAATTTACTTTATATAATGAAATATTTGATAATTATTTTAATACCTTCAAAATTTTCAATATACTTTTCATAGAAATAAGTTCTTTTGGCAGATAATAGTTTATTTCAAATAATTTTCATGCAAACACCGTGTGACTCTACATAATTATTCCAGTATAAGGTATTTCTCCCGCTTTCCTAGCGTGTCTTCGTGGGGTAGTGGTTCTGCACGTTCGTTCGGTATTCCTGAGGTCCGTGGTTCGATTCCCGGCGAAGGCGTTGCAAATTTTTCATCTTGCCTGCTTCCAAAAAAAATCCTAATGCGGCGCCCGAACTAAAACTAAACTAACAGTGGACCCGAACTAAAAGGGTATTGAGTGAGTATCCACACCCATGATTTGGCGATTGCGTCCCCTAAAAACCCCAGTTGCCCTTTAAAGAAGGGAGTATATAAAGTATTTCTCCCGCTTTTCTAGCGTGCCTTCGTGGTGTAGTGATTCTGCACGCTCGGCCGGTATTCCAGAGGTCCGTGGTTCGATTCCCGGTGAAGGCGGTGCCTAATTTTTCGTCTCTTCGGCTTTTGAAATTAACCTAATGTCTCTACACCAGAATGATTATTAAATCCTTATTTATCATTCCCGTCTTTTTATAACCATACCGATAAATGGATTCTGAAAACAGATACTGAATAATATATAAATATTTTATAATGTAGCTGTCCAGGATTTTTGTGATTCACCACAGGCGGCATCTCGTCTTCTCTCTTCTATAAAACTAGAAACTCTCTGAGAAGGTTTCATTTTATAAGTCTATACAAGTAAAAATTGTCTTTTTCCTTTTTTATGGTGCAAGAGATAACATATCAGTTTTAATTAAAGACTTTTCGAAGTTGAACTTTAGCATTACATTGAAAAAATTAAACAGAAAGGCTTCTCGCATATTACTTTGCTGTAAGATCAAATCTTCCGCTTGAGAAACATTCTTTTAAATGCAACTATATTTTTGAAAGTATAAATTATCGTCTGCTCAGTGTGATTAATCAATAGAACTTCATCAAGACAAAGAAAGCAGCGACACATCAAAACCTATAGTTAATTTCCTGGAAAAAATGGGACAAGAAACGGGTATCAAGGCCATACCTTCACTCAGATCTCTATTAAAATCTCCTGTTTTGTCACCAATGTATTTTTGCCCTTTTGCTTTTGTATACTTTGGAAAGCTAATCGTGAGCAATGAGATAAAGTAAAATTATTATCTGCTACTTTCTTTCCGTACTACAAAATCTTTTCGTCTATTCTTTCCGTACTACAAAATGCTGTATGTCTTGGAAATTATGCTGTAGAAAGATAGTGAAGAATAAGGATTATCGGAGAGAACATTTAAAACATAAATATTATAGGTAAAATATTTATGAAATTACAATGAAAATCGTCTGAAAAATGTGCAAACAGCTTCTGTAACATCTTGAAATCCTATATGTATGAAATATCTGAAGCTAAAAGACCAAAGCATTTATACAGAATTCGTGCTGTTGTGTTTAAACAAATTCTATTATATTTTTTTAAATGCACTGAGATCTTTCTTATTGACATTTTTTGTCAATTCAGCGTCGAAGTTTACTTGTTATTGTCATCATAACATCGAGCTGGGACTAAAGCATCTTTCTGATTTTAAGGAAATACTTGTGAGCTTTTTGTTTTAATATTTTATAAATAATGAATTTCAATCCGGGTGTCTGTCATGACACATTATAGATCACAGTGACATAAATGTTATGTATTTTGTTTATTTCAGCAGAATTTCACAATCCCTCTTTTGTTGGTGTTTTCATCGAAATATTTTCAAATCAGAATCATCAAGAGAATCAATAAAATGTAATAGGCTAAGAACAAAATAAAAATGCTGGACCATTAAAAGACTAAGTCATGAGCGGGCTGTTAAAATACTAAAGTACGAGTTTTGACGAATTTCTCATGGATTTCAAAGAATTTATTAGTTAGAATATTGAAGACTACACAAAACTGCGTAAGGATCAATACGGAAAGCTCAAGACAAGCTCTTCCGGTATATGCAAACGATAAACTCTATTGGAAAATGTAATTTTCCATGAACAAAATGGGAAACCGAATCAAAAAACAAACTTCAGGACCTGTTAAAATGCAAAATGTATTTCAGTTTGCAGCTAAGCATTTAATACAGAATGCAAAGATAACATTAAATCTCCAACGTTTCTTTTTGGTCTATCCTACACATGCAAATATTAAATCGAAGAGTTTAATCGTGTTTAAGCCTTGATAAATTTTGTTTGATTAGCCTTGATAAATGCCATAGTATCAGCACTTAATTCTTAGCAAACAAACATCTTAAATGAAAGTTTAAAAATATATTGCTGTCAAGATATATTTTAGCAATATTTAATATTTTTTCTGCATCTTTAATTATTTTAAATTAAAACAAACTTCATATTTTTTTTTCTCTTTTTTCCCTAAACAAACATAAATCATAACTAAACATTTTATGATATTTTTATGTTTAAAACGTATCGATGTGTTATACGATAAGAATAAATATATTTAAAATTAAATTTTGAATAAATTCATTTGAAAAGATAGTTTTCACTGGCGTTTTCGTTTTTATATAATTAATACGCTTTATGCATAAAAATATGATGTATCTTTAAATTCATTGTGATTTATAATCATAAAATTTTTACCTAAGTATTAAATTAATGCCTCTTAAAATAAAATTTCTTCGTTTTAAATTCGGGGCTATAGATATTGCTTCAGAATATGCATTAAAATACAAGTAATTTATCTTCTAGTTTCTAATCTAAAAATAAATTAAGTCAAATTTTCGCTTGTTCTATAATGCAACTCAGATGGTGTTTAACAGTTAATATTTTGTGATTAAAATGCATCTGAAGTCTGAATTCTTCCAAAAAACCTTAAGAGGAATCTAGATTTTTACAAAATCTTTTTTAAAACTGCGACATTTGTAACTAACCTTGGAATAAACTATACTAATTGTTCCTCTAAATTAATGCAATTTTAAAAGTGTCTGCCGCAGACATGTAAAATATTTTCAAATACTTTAGAAATCGACTACATTTGTCTAGGTTATTAAGCTTAATTAACATTCTCATAAAAATCATCTGAAGCATTAAAATTCTCAGTGATGAATTTTCATTAAGTTTTAAATTTTGATTTTATTTTTAAAAGCTATGATGCAGGAAACTTCAAATGTTTCAGTTCCAATTAAACCATTTCCATGATAACTCATCATAAGTAACAAGCTGGAAATAATTCCCTGATAACTCATCATAAGTAAAAAACACTGGTAATTAATAAACTGAATTACATGCAGCTGTATGTTTCCTTTTCACAAAATATTAAATAATTGAGTTTAGATCTCTTTATAAATTTAGGTTATTTAATAAAGAATGGCGTCACTTTCTCTTAAAGAATGTAATTAGTATTTAGTCTTTCCTGAACTTTTGGAGATCATAATTCCAAAAGTCGCATCATATTTGCGAAAGCGAAATATAACAGGCAACGTTTTCTCTAAACGCCTTTCACTTGAACTATTTTGAAGGAAGTGTAGTGCAGTATTTTACTACATTCGCAAAGGGAATCCATTCGGCGCTGTGTTTCGTGTAGATTAACTAGTTAGAAGAAAGAAAGGATCACGAGACTATATGAAATTCCTGCCAGCAAAAAAACTCGTTGAAAATTGCATTTGGTGAAATATTGATAGAACGCATTTTCCGTATTGAGATCAGTTTTACGCAGCTTGTTTATTTCTTCGGCTCTAAATTAGTTTGATTTGAAAAATATGTTGTGAATAAGCAAGGCGATTGAATTTTCTTTTTCTAGCTATAGAAACGCGTGAAATAGTTCAAGGTTTTTCAAAATATTCTACTGCTTTGCATGGTTCGTGTGGTTTAAATTATTTAAATGTTAACCTCTGTGTTCCATTTTTAAATTATTGAAATCATCAAGAAGGTTTGAAGCAAAATTTTAAACCCTGAAGTGAATGGTAAAATTAACAAAATTCTGAAAAAAAAAATGAATTTCTTAAATTACCTAGCGAGTAACGGACTATTTCTCTTGGTACTGCTTAAATTTTAGATGCGAGTTTTGACGGATTCGCAAGAATAAACTTCAAACAGCTGAAGTACCATATCAGTAACGGAAGATGGAGAAGAAAGCACGTTCTTGAAGTTTTACTCCAAGCGATAAGTATGACTGGCAGAAAAAAAAAAATAGATATGCTGTCAGGATGTCGACGTAAATGCAAATACGTTTTTGCACTCTTTGTACCACTTTTTATTAATAATGTTCGTTTCAGTTTATGCATAGATAGTTTTGTTGATTAGAATCTTTCTAGTGCTTTCATATCAGGCACTTGTTCCATTTTCAAATCCGTCTTTCACTTTTATTTTTATAATTTTAGGGTAGTGAGGAGCTGGACTCCGAAACTCATGTGCATATAGAGAAGAATGGGGCCTCAACTGTTAAGTCCAGAGTGAATGTGACACTGAAAAGAGAGGACCTGGGAGCCAAAATCGAATGCCATGTCGACAACGATGCTATAGACGATCCCCTTGTGTCTTGGGTGGAAATAGATCTTCATGGTAAGATTAGAAATGCTACTTAAGTCTCCATTCATAGTGTGAGAGAAAAAAACTTTAATGTAAACCATAACTTTTTTGTTGGTGTAATATCATTTCCAGCAAATGTTATTGCTTTCCGTTGTATGCGAAGTAGTGTAAAATATAGCTAATATAAAACTTTAAGTTCATCTTTAACACAGGAAACATCTGAGAAAATAACGAAATATTAATTACAAGCATGCCGTTTGACGAATGTAATAGAAAATTTAGAAAATGTTTTTAGCTACTTACATAAATAATGCAAAGTTAACGCATTGGAATCTTCTTAAACTATTATTGAAAAAACGTATCCTACTTCTGATCATTCATAGTGTTACGGTAATAACTATAATTTCTTTTTATTTTCATTCCTATTCTTTCCTTCAACTTCTGTTAAAGAAAAGTGGTATCCATAATTTTATTAAATTTCTATCCCTTTAATTAGCAGTTATCACTCTATTTACCTGTTTACCTACGGCAAAAGAGCATAAACGTACTTTTTGCATAGAAATAAGTCTCTAATTAAAATGATTAAAAGGAATAAATTTGTCTCATTCTAATCTGCAGTCAACTTCAAAGATTTTTATCATGTAACAACATATAATTTGCTGCATGTTCAAATGTGCTTTCTGAATGCGTACTTTAATCTAATTTTTTATTGCAGCTGTATCAAACTTCATTTTTTCCCTGCAGCTACATTGCTATTTTTAATATCTAATACGGTTGACAAATTATTATTGTTAATTGGATATTTAATCAGATATTAATATTTCTAAAGATGTGTTATATTCCATACATTTCAAACTAATAATTTCTCCCAGAATCAAAGACATTCATATCATGATATCTAGCGGTAAATTGACCATCGCATTCAGTTTGTAATTGGAACTGACGAGTAAAGTACTCGCCCAAGGAATAGTTAGTTTTTCAAGGTCTGTGACTGTCAAAGCGATAATGACACTTTAGCGGTATGAACACAATATGACGATCGATAATTTGTTAATTGAATTTGGACTCCAAAATATTATTTCTTCTGCCATCAGTCGTTTGTTAAGTAGGGGAAGCAATTGATGATATTTTTCTTACGTGTTCTTCGAGTCCTGTAGTCATCACATCAGTAATGAGCAGCTAGAAATATAAGCAACTCGGATCCAATTTCTTAATAAACCACAGTTGATTAAGTGTATTTTTCCTCTGAAAGTCGAACGAGACCGTAGTTCGCCTTCACACTCTTACGAACGTGCTCAATATTTATCACTTAAATTTCGAATGAACTTAAATGTTCATTTATCCAAAGGTAAATTTTTAGTTTTCGATAAATCAGTTACCGATAACCTCTTATATACATATGCAAAAAACCACAAACGTTTATTGCACAGATAGAACGATGACTCTTGCAGACAGATGTAGTCGTAAATTTCAAGATAATTTTATTCCTGGATAACACATTTCTTTACATGTACAATCTAATTCACATATCATTATGGGAGCAATATGCACACCCATAATTTTGGGAAGCTTACATTTTAAGACATACAATGGAAGATAGATAGATGCGAGCGACGACGTGTTATATCGACGCAGACAAGTAGGATGTATTCAGAAGCAGCCTCGGAGAGATCAAAATGTTGTGGTATCAAAAGAAATCTTATTCAGTGTTTATATAAGAGGTGTCTGTATTGGAGCGTTCTGAAACATCTTAAGATGCGGGTTTAATTTTCAAATGAGGCAGTTTAGACCGCTATGTTATGAACAGTTACTATCTTTAGGACAGAAATCAGAAGCACCCAAATAAAAATGCGAAATATAAGGAATATTGCAATTAAAATTAGAGGTTTGCTTTGCATATTTTTATCCTACGTATATATACAGACACATAAACCGTGTATGCACGTATGCGTATATATATATAATATATATTATATAATGTAAGTTATATAAATTATATCATATAAAAATGTATATGTATTTACGTGTATGTGTGTCTTATATTTTAGAGGTCTATTTGCATGCAGAGAGCTGAATAGAAAATTTGAAACCAATCACTTTTTAGATATGGCCGAGAAGAACTGCTGAGTAGATCTGGATCGGACTGGAGAGAAAATCACAACTGGCTTGATCGTTAAAACATCATTTTTGTTTGAACAAAAAATATTCTTCAACGATGCATTTTTCCTTAAACTGGTATTAAGGATGCTAAATTCGCGTCACAATTTATAACAATACAAGAATGCTAGTGCTACATTTTAGAACCATAGAAGAATACGAAAAATACAAAGAGACGTGGGTTATTCAAGACACAACAAACGTCAGAAGAATGATATACTTTATATATAGTATTTATACCTTGGAAAATGTTTGTTTTAGTCCTGAGCAGCGACTATTCTAAATATTTCGCAGTGCAGAAAAATTGCAGTGAAAGTGTAACGGCATATGCTGCAGAGTGACGCAGAATAGTGCAAAGCGTATTCTTGAAGCGGGATTCTGTTTACACTGTTGACCATTAAAATTGCAGCACCAGGAAGGAAGGATCTGACAAACATCAAAATCACATGAAAGGAAGAAAAGGTTAGGATTTGCTAAGGATTAGTATTTCAGCTAATTTAGACGAAATTAGGAGGGAGAAACGACATCTGAAACACTGTATAAAAGAAAAGTTGTGTAGTGGATATCTCACTCGGGAAGCGCTTTGTAAGGTCGGAATGTGCTCAGAACATCGTGTTATACTTCGAATAATAATAAGAAATGCTTACCAGTAAGTGTCGGAATTCGATAAAGGCAGAATCATTGCCTATCAAGAGTGCGGATTATCTTTCCATGATTTCGGAATCAGTGAGTTGCTGACGGTCATACTGAACGACATGCAGGATCGCAACACCCTCCCATGACTAATGCCCAAGAGGACAGATATATTGTGAGGTCAGCTCTGCAAAACTGTAAAACCGTGTACCTTTGCAGCAGCATTGGACTATCAGAACGGCGACCATTACTTCGGCTTCCTTTGACAATGCAGCAAAGAAAGAGATGGCTACTCTGATTTGCCAAACTATAAAACTGGATACAGGAGTGGCAAAATGTCTGTTTTATGCACAACAGCAGAAAGTAACATGTCTGCAGGAATCTCCCGTACAGTCCGTGATATGTTATCCTTCAACGTAGCCAGGTCTAGGACCACTCCTTGATAGACCTTGGACTTAAGGTAACCCCATAGCCAGAAGTCCCATGGGGTACGATCGGGCGACCGAGGTGGCCATTCAGTTGGAAAGTAGCGGCTAATGACTCTTTCTGTTGTGAATTTCTGTCGTACCATGTGTTGCACCAGTATAGCAACGTGTGGAGGAGCTCCATCTTGCATGACGAAAATGATTTCCCCCAGGCGTTGTCTTTGTTGAAGTGCCGGAATGACAAAGCTGTTCAACATGTGGCGATATTTCTCTCCGGTAACAGAACAGCTTTCCGGTCTTGTTGGGGTAATGTTCTCATAGAAGAATGGACCTACAATAAATTCCGCTATGAACCCACACCAAACAGTTACCTTTGGTGAATGTAAAGGAATTGCTGAGACTGCATGTGGTGATTTGTCATCCCAAGTTCGGCAGTTCTGGGTATTCACAGTTCCATTCAGGTAAAAGTGGGCCTCATCTCCCCATAAGATCATCCATCACGGTCAAGCATCATCCACCTTCATTCTGGCAAGAAAGGTGAGAGCAAAAGTCAATCGCTTATCATGGTCGGGGTACAGTAACTCCTGTACACGGCTGATCTTGTACGGATAGAAGTTGATAATCTTTTTTTAAGATTTTCCATACCGTACTGTAAGGCATATCCATAATAAAAGGTAATTTTATTCCGTATTAATTTGCATTTGTTAACACTCTATTTTCTATTACACAGCGCCAAATATTCCCCTAGCGTTGACTTTTGGAACTATTTTTCGCGGAATCTTCCGTCCCCCGTTCTGTTTAATCTTCGTGCAAAATATGGCGCCATTCTCGCAAATAGATCGCGCTACAGAACACTGTGAACACTGTCAGTTTAATTATGGCCACCCGGTATATAGTCAACACATCCACCTTCATGGAACTACTATTTTTGAGTTTTATGTGTAATATGATTTAATGGAAACAACTTTGTAAACGAGCTTCTAAATTTTTTCTTAAAGGTTTTCATAGTCCAAAAAGAGAATTTTCAACATCATTCTGCTTTATAACAAATATATATACATATAATACATCTACTTTGTCTATTATAATTTATTCTTGTAAAGACCAAAAGTTTTATTGATCGTTAAACTGAGTTTTAAATTTTTCCAACAAACTTCTCATAATAAAAAGTCAAATTTTTTTTGAGTTCATAAGATCAAAATATCAATCGTATATTTTGCTTCTTTATCAGAATGATTTAAACAGAAAGGCATTTTTAAGCACTTAATATAAAAAATGGATTAACCAGAGAATGCACTTTACAGAAGACATAAATCTCAGCTTTACTAATTCCTCTGTGACTTTAGACGATAATACAGTTTGGAAGTTTGATAAATTATATACTAATTTACTGAACTTGCATACCATACTGCTTTTCATCAAATTATATCTTCAGTTAAGCACTTCGAGGTGTTAATTTGCATCGCCAGCTATTAGTTAAAATATGTTTTTTTTTTCACTTTCTTAACACAGCTTTTCTCTGTGTGTCTTGAAACATTTTAGTTTAAAGTATTTGGCATATTCGTGGTATTTAAAGCATATAGTATAGACAGCAGCTAATTACTAGCCATTAGCAGGTTATGAATTTCATTCCTTTTAAATCATTAATTTTAAAACCGAAAGTAATTTGAATCATTAAATAATTTAGACATTAAATGATTTAGTCATTTAGCAATTCTTGCTTTTGTTGTTTATAAAACATGAATGCTGACAAAGTTTCCTTCACGTTGAGACGGAGAGTATTGCATGATAGTCTAATTGTATATATAGCTCTTATAG